TGTCTGCGGATGGACAAAAATGGTATAAAAGGAGCAGTGCTAACAAGAATTGTTCATTAGCTAGGCATACGTGGCACGCGTCGCAACGTGGGTCACACGGGTAGTGGAAGAGGGATCAAACCTCCGAGACTATTAGTATATATTCGAAGTGGGCTTTAACCACTGAGACTGGTGCTAGCTGTAGGGCTTAAACCTACTCTAGTTCTATACTTTAGAGAGTGGATATAGCGAGAGTACAGCAAATAAAGAGGCTATAAACGAGAAGCGAGTGTGTTCTGATTTCTTGAGGAGATAGGGTGTTTACTCCTTACAGGACCCTGGACAACCGAGAGCTACGCCCAGCACTCAGGAAAGTCCGTTACAATGTCCAAGAACATTTTCCTAAAAACTGTAGGAGGGGTGTTTTGCTTGGAATAATCAAGTAGTCGGGTGATAAATATTTCTGCTGCTGAGCTCCACGGTGGAAGTTGCGGTGTTGTTGTAAGAATCGGTTTAAGGGGAATATCAATCACTTTAGCAAATTCTGTTACTTTACAAATTGTTGAGGGCAGTCGTAGATCACCGACTCAACTCAACCTCAACTTCTCAACTTTCTCAACTGAACCTCGGATTTCAGTCAAGTTCGAATTTTCGCGTGAAAATTTGTGGGTATAGAGGTTTATAGATGTGAAAGGGATTCTGAGACGTTTTTTAAAAAATTTTAATTTTTAAGGTTTTTAAAAGCAAATATATGTATTTTTATGCAATCTTTTTTCAAAGCTCATTTTCTCTTAAAGTATTTGACGAAAGTTGATGAAATTTTTTTGTAAGCGAAGTGACATAAGAGCTTTAAAAAAAATATTTTTATAATTTAGAAAAAAAAAATTTTTAATTTAAATATTATAAATAGATATTCAAGTTGCATTAAAAATATGTTCTCAATGAGTGTTTTCCATTTCGTTTATTTTTTCGAAAACTGCATTTATTTAAGAAAACATTTCTAAAAAAAATTTTTAGATTTTTTCTGTTTGTTACTTACAGCAACATTTGTCACAGCGCATGCATCGTGAACCATGCACGCTCACCGCCTATACGCGCAACGTGTTCACTAGATAGTTTTTGAAAACTATCGATGTCGGTTTTAGCAAGACTTCACAATGTATCTTCTTTATATCTCTACAAATTACATTAATTTTTTTTTATGCAAGAAAATCAATACACAGTTTTTATAAAAAATTAGTAGACACTAAATAAACAAAACAAGTAGTCAAAACTGCTAAAAAAATGTTGTGGTGCTATTATTTTGAGCAGTACTATATTCGTTTTCTTATAAAATGGTAAAATGTTAATAATTTCCCTTTTCCGGATTTTGATATGCGCCTCCGTATTTGATCTCAGTTGAACTTTTATAAGAATGAGTTGTCAATTTAAACGAATATCTTTTATTTTGTTTGTTTTGTAGTATCAAAGAACATAGATAACAAGAAGGGACAACTCGTTATAATTGTAGCGAAAGTGCGCAGCAGGGGCGTGCCTTCTCTTTTGCCCTAGTGTGTTTTTTGATTGGATGAAGAGAGAAGGCACGCCCCTGTTGCGCACTTTCGCTGCAATTATAACGAGTTGTCCCTTCTTGTTATCTACGTTCTTTGGTAGTATTATAAATGAATTTTTATAGCCAATTTCACTTCTTTGCACTTTAAAAGGGACAAACACAATCCGATTTTAATTTTGCCTTATAAAAAATAAACTCAGATTTTGCCTGTCGCTATTCAAGGGGATGCAAGGGTATGTATATAAGTTATATAATTCAGACGCATAAATTAATAAGTTTATTTTATTATTATAAAAAGTTATTTTTGATGCACTCAAATTAAAAAAAAAATATACAATCTCTTTAATTTACAAAGTAATTTATAAATCTTATAAATTTAATAATTATTTAATTTTCAAGCAATTGAGCGTTTCAATTCAATACCTTTCACGTCGATAGTACTATCGATGTTTTCAATTATCGTTTCGAAAACTATCGAGTGGCGGTACTATCGATAGTATCCCAGCTCTACTCCACTGGTACGTATAGACTCGGCGATATGCCCATAAGATCATTGCTCTTTTTAACCGACTTCCAAAAAAGGAGGAGGTTATCAGTTCGTCGGCATATATATATTTTTTTTTTGTTATGTATGTTACCGCATAACTTTGGACCACGTCAACCGATAACCGATTTCGATAATTCTTTTTGCATCGGAAAGGTTGTGTCTCAGAGGAGGTCCCATACTAATCTGGTTTAGATCCGATCATTGGATAATGAAAAATATATATATATATATTTTTAAGTCGGTTTTTTTTGCTAAAAATTACTTGTTATTGTATTAATTTCCTGGGCATATCAAACGTTATGTGAAATATATCAACAATAATTAAATTCTTTCCTTTTTAGTTTTTAGATTAACCCTAGAACACACACCCGGGTACAAATGTATCCACTTTCAACTTTGAAGTGTTGTAACTTTTGAACCGATATACCTCTATACCGCTTCGGATCTAGGAAGATTATTTAGTTTTGAGTTCAAATTCAAAATTTGAACCAGATCGGACCATTGGTTCAGGAGCTACAGCCTTCCAAACACATTATATACGTAAACACACACCCGGGATACGTTTGTACCCCAATAGTAAAAATCCTCATAATAATAAAAAAAAAACATTTTTTATATTATTTTTTTATTTGAAAAATTAAAAATATTCATTTCACACATTATATTATTGACTTTTATTATAAAAATTATAAAAATGCATCTTATATCTAAGGAAAATCATGGCAAATAGAGCAATTTGTTGATGTGACCGAATGTTCAAGACACATTGGCTTCTTACATTTGTCGCACAGCTTTCTGGTGTTTCTACGGCGTTTTTCCTCTTGTGCGTAACATAAATAGCAAGATCCGGACACAGGTTTTGGCGTGCGCGCTGCGGCAGATGTTGATGCTGCTGTTGACACCATTGATTCCACCGGTCGGTTGAAATATGCTTCAATAGCAATTTTAGTCGAAAAATTTCGCGTCACTTGACGATTTATGGCTCTGGCTTCAATAATGGGCATACACAATGCTTCAGCCAAGCTGCGCAGGATCTGCTTACGCTTGTTGTTTGTTCTCCAAGGCAACATAGGGTTATTCAAATCGTAGACAATGTAGGCTGCAAGAGCTGTAATGTCCAACATGTTGAAGAACATCGCTAGTGGCCATCGTTTTGTTTGTCTTTGTGTTGGATATTCCGCAAACATTTGGTCCATTCGATCAACACCACCTTTGGTACGATTATAATATTCAATTATTTCAGGTTTCCCACTGTCAGCTATTTCAGCATCATTATGCATGGTCGAAAGCAAAATTACTGCTTTATTTTTTTTGGGAACATAAGAGCACATTGTCACATTATTTTTGAAGCCAAATGTCGTTGAACCAATTGTCCTGTTTTTGTTCTGCTTCATTTCTTGAGGAATATATGATTTGTTTTTGCGCAAAGTTCCAACGATCGTGAGTTTCCAGGTGAGAAGCAGTTCTGCAACTGGCAAGGTCGTAAACAAATTGTCCATTGTAATGTTTCGGCCACTTCCTTGGTATTTGGCAGACAAATCCTTCACCACTCGTTCGCCTTGGTTCGTTTCCCTACCAGTTTCTGCTTGGCCAGTATATATTTGTCCATGCAGTGGATATGCATTTGTGGCATCGCAAATCCACCAAACCTTGATACCATATTTAGCAGGTTTTGACGGTATGTACTGCGTAAACCGTGTGCGTCCACGGTAAGGAAATAATTGTTCATCAATCGTCAAGCATGAGCTGGGCTTGTAATGTGCAGCAAGATTATTGTTCATCATCGTCCACAACTCACTGATCGGTGCTGCTTTATCAGTTAGTAAGCGTGTTGCACGAGTGTTTTTATCGTCAAATCTTAGGAACCGCAATATCGAACAGAAACGGTTGACTCCCATTGTGGCGCGATATAAAGGATAGTTTTTGACGCTCCATAAATCTCGAACATGTTCTCCATTGCTATGGTTCGCACCAGTCATAATAAGTATGCCAAAAAATGCATACAGCTCTGTTATTGACACAGGCGTCCATGACTTAGGAGTTGTGTTTGGATGCGCATTGTTGTAAGCATTATAAGTTTCTTTTGCTAACTTATTTGTGTGGCGCATAATTATATCAGCCATTTCAACGTTCATGAAACATTTGAATGTTTGCTCTATTGACAACATTTCAGTGCATCTAGCTGGTCCAGAACGTTCTCTTATAATATTTTGTCTGAGTACCTGACGACTTACATTTGGTTCTTTCATCCACTCAGTACCATCACGTGCAACAAATTTTTCGGCACTAGCAGGTAATTCATTATTTTCTTCTACTTCTTCTTCTTCATCGTCTTCTTCATCATCCTCATAGTCCGCATAATCAGGTAATACTTCTGCGGCACTTTGCGAAACTTCAGCATCGTCATCAGCAATTTCAATGTCATTGATTTGAATTTCTTCTTCATCTTCTGAGTCAAAGTCATAGGGAGCGTCATCGTCACAAATTTCATCAAATAAAGATTGTATATATGATTCTCGCTGTTCCTCAGTTAGCCTGCATAATAAAAAAAATTAGTATATGTTTACATTGTTGCTTATTTTACATTTTTTACCTTCTATATGCTGCACTTGATAAATATTCGTTTCTTCTTGAAGTCATTTCGTATCCAGTTATTTATAGTTTCAGTTATATTTATTTTCACTTATATTTTCACTTCTTACACTTTTGAGCACCAAAACAATAATGAAAATATCAACAGGCAGCATTTATAACAACACCTCGTGTGAAAACAACCCTTGCAGCTGCATATAAAATACAAAAACCAGTTATACCAGTGTATTTGCTACCTACGTACCCATACCTTGCGTGACCTTTTTGCACATATCTTTTGAACCAGGTCGAATATTTCAATGAAATAAAAACCAAAATGTGTATTCGTTGTTACTCTACAAGTATATTATTATAAATTATATTATTTTGTTTTGCATTTATCAGGACAACAACAAAAACAAAAATCCACTGTTGCATGTCCTGACTTTATTTGCCCATATCGCTGGAACCAGTAGGAATATTCGAATGAAACAAAAGACAAAATACTTGTTATATATTAAAATATACATTTCAAAATCATAGAAATCGGTTGAATAAGCATTAAAAAAACCGCAAAATAAGGTCCCGGGTACAAACGTATCCCGGGTGTGTGTTTACGTGGTATTTTCTGGGTGTGTGTTCTAGGGTTAAAATCTGTACGTCTGGCAACGGTACATCAGACTAATAGTCCGGGAGCTAGCGACAGTTTTAGTGACCTATTTTATTGTCGACTAGCCAATGCCCGCTTATTTCGCGGCGCCTAATAAGAGCTTTTGCGTTGGCCAATGCAAAAGAGCGTTGAAAAACAAAATTAGTCGGTAAAGTCAAAATTTTTGATTTAACAATGTTATTGTGGCTTGTTAACATTTTGTTTTTAATATTTTTATTGAGCTTTGTACCACGATTGTTTATTAGGAAAAATTGAAAAAGCAACAAAGTCTAAGCGGTAGAAGTTATAGCACTATTTCGGAGATCACCACATCTCCTCATCAGACTTCTTTTTTCTAGACTTCAGCAGGGATCGAACCTGCGAATTCGATGTTCAAAGTCAGAAGCGTTAACCACTGAGCTATGTACATCCCGTAAACTCTTGTTGCTAATTCATTTTCCTTATTCAACCAACTACTACCAAGTGCAGCTGATTTGCCGCTATTTAAACTCGACAGCGTGGTTGTTGTTGTAAATTCTATACATTGTAACGAAGCGTTTTATTCGCCCCGCCGCTTCTTCTATAATGCTGGGGTATACTCGCCGTGTCCAGGGTTCGTTACAATAAATTTGTAGTTTCGGGGCTCTGGTAAATCGCACTTTATTAATTTAATTTTCTTAATTTCAATAAAGAACATATAACAAATAACAAAACTTGCTGGCGTCACTTGCAGTGGTTGGGTAACGGCTTCCTGTCCCGTTATGGGCCCGTTAGGCGGTAGTGGCGTGGCTTCAATT